CTTATCATAACAGTATAGGCGGTGGTATATGCCTGGTGGGTAGGATGAGTTATTTTAATCATAAAAGTATAGGCGGTGGTATACGCCTGGTGGGCAGGATGAGTTATTTTAATCATAACAGTATAAGCGGTGGTATATGCCTAGTGGGTAAGGCGAGTTATTTTGATTATAACAGTATAGGCGACGGCGTGTATAAGGTATTGTGTATGGCATACGTTAAGGTGGTTAAGGAGAGAGAATGCGAAGTATAACGATTAACGTTCTTGTACACAGTTTGTCATATAAGCAATGGCACGTATGTTGTTGTAGAAGTTACAGTACATAGGTTATTGTACATAGTATATGGTATGGTACAAAATGTATTGCATGTGGACTATATAATGGTGGATAAAGAGAGAAAAGACAAAATATAACAATATACGTTATAGTAAATAGGACGTTGTATAGATCATACATAGGGTACAGTATACTACTACACAGGGTATAATATACAATTACAAAGGACAAGTACGTAAGTTATGGGACATAGGTTGTTATTTAAACTATGGTACACGGGTTATTGTATATAGTGTATGGTATGGCACATAAGGGATTGTATATGGATTATAATAGTATAGTGGACGAGGGGAGAAATTTCATACTATACCTAAAGTTATGATACATGTTTTGTTGTATACGATATGGTGCATAGTTTATGCACCCAGGGTGTGGTATGGCTCACAAGGTGTTGTATAAGGATATTGGTATGAGAGATATGGTATATGGTATGCTAGATATAGTTTATGGTATGATAGATATGGTATATGGTATGATAGATATGGTATATGGTATGATATATATGGATAACGGTATGATATATATGGTTTATCGTATGATAGATATGGATTTTAGTATCGTGCATAGGTTATTGTACACTGGGTGTGGTATGGCTCACAAGGTGTTGTATATGGATAATGCTATGAAAAATATGGTATATGGTATGATAAATATGGTTTATGGTATGATATATATGGTTTATGGTATGATAGATATGATTAAAAGTATTGTGCATAGGTTCTTGTACACTGGTATGGTTTTTAGTATCGTGCATAGGTTATTCTACACTGGGTGTGGGATGGCTCACAAGGTGTTGTATCAGGATATTGGAATGATAGATATGGTTTATGGTAAGGTACGTAGGGTATTGTGACACTATGACTGGGGCATAAAGGTACAAGGATATTGATTGCAGAGTTCAGTCCATGGACAGCGACAGCTGAGCTCAGAGAGCGCAATGCTCAGATATCACTCTTGTCAAATTTACGATTGAATGACTTGGTGTTCCCGGTGACAAATTTGTGGTATTAGAGTATATCCAAAACATTCATGTATATAGACAGCCTTATATATATATATATATATATACATATAAACACGCACC